TGTCATTTGGTGTGTTTTGAGTGAAATCCAATCGCTGGAACTATGAATTACCCCAACCACCCCAATTTGGAACGAACTGCGTTTGAACTTGAATTGTCCAATTTCTTACACCTATTTGTAACAACCCGTTCCTAAATTAATAGTTAAATTTTAAATTATTTAGGTAAAGGAAAATCTTACCCAAGGAATGATTAAATAATTAAAATAAGAGTTAATAAGTTTAAGTGAGAAAATAAATCTTAAAAGTAAAATATTATTTAATATTAAGAAGGGGTAAAAAGGTCATTTTAAGTTCGGGATGTGATTTGGAAATTTTGAATGGTCTGTTGCGTAGAGCACGTTGAAACGAGTCCGTAGACACGTAGTGGACTCGAATCGGAGTTGTAACGAAGAAATGATGGTGAAAAGAAGTTCAGTGGCATAACCGTAAATATTTCGAAGTCCAGTTTTTATATACCCAGAATTTCTGCAGTTAAGGAGGGCTCGACCAGCCGACTTCAAGAGGTGATTTCTCTCAACTCCGACCACCAATTCATGTAATACCGGTCCCGTTACAACCACCTCACTTCCCTCTTTCGATTCCAGCCCATCCCAGCCTCGATCCACCGCCGTAATCGATGGAAACCGCCACGAAACAGGGCGGTTTGGACAGATTTTGACGGCATTTCACGGAACTCGTTCTCCCTCCTCCGGCCACCGTTTCATGCTAGTGAGGTATGCTTTCTCACCTATTTTTCATGATCTAGCTGATGTTTGGATAGGAATTTACCAATCTTGAGCCTAGGTAGTTCGATTTTCGAAGTGGGTTTCAGCCGGTTTTGGGATCACGATTCCGGCCACTTCCCGCTACTTTTTGGGGTAGGTCCAAGAAGAAAAGTTGTTCCAAATAGGCTGTTTTACCTAGGGTAGGAAGCTGGGTTTCCAATTTTGAAGATTCCCGGCTGCCGGAATTTGATCAAGCCACCCACGCGCTGCCGGCGCGTGGACGGCATGGTGAAGTCACTTTCAGAACCTAAAATGATCTCTTGGTCCTCACGAGCACATAGGAATTCGCGGATATTAATTCGGACAATGTTTGAACCCCAAATGGATCTCGCATATTGTGCGATTTCCGGGTTCGATACGTTTGACCCGTTGGATCATAGTCAATTATATATATATTGATCTAAGTAATTCCAGGATCGTATAGGATTCGACGGATCGTAAATCGGAGCCCCGGATACTCCGAGAATGCCAACCCTAGGTCTAGGTTTACAGTAACCATACGATTGTACGATCGTGAGTAATCCGACCGTCCGATTGAGACCAAGTCTCGGGACATGTGTCCTAGGTATGTTAGAGCCTTGAGAAATGCGGCTCAGATTGAAGTGTTATCTCTGAGACCTGCGAGAAGTGCGGCTCGGATTGAAGCTGTATCTCCGATACCTATGAGAAATGCGGCTTAGATTGAAGTGTTATCTCTGAGACCTGCGAGAAGTGCGGCTCGGATTGAAGTTGTATCTCCAAGACTTGCGAGAAATGCGGTTCAGATTGAAGTGTTATCTCTTAGACTTGCGAGAAGTGCGGCTCGGATTGAAGTTGTATCTCCGAGACCTGCGAGAAATGCGGCTCAGATTGAAGTGTTATCTCTGAGACCTGCGAGAAATGCGGCTTGGTTAACCTTGCGTTTCCGAGACCTGGGAGAATGGAATTGACGGTATTAAAGGAATTGATGGATTAGAAATGGGGGTACGCCTAGGTGGAGAGAATTTAAGCTTTGAAATGCTTTTAAGGTAAAAGTGAGGAACTCTATACAGTTACTATCTTTTTCTTAACCGATATATTTATGTCACAAGAGAAAGACAGATATACATAATTAATTATTTACGAACCTTACATGAGTTCGTTATCAGGGTATTCGAAGCTTGTTATTTTATTTTATTTTAATCCGTTTGCTTTAATTTATCTTATTTTATTTTATTTAAGCTGTTTGCCTTGATCTTTTTATTATTGGGTATGGTAATATACTCTAGTATTTCTAGCATAATCTTACCCCTCGAGTTTTAGTGATACCCGGACTGGGGGAGCGAGGATTGCGGATCAGGTTGACCAGATGTCTCCTGAGTCTAGCAAGGATTATAGGGCAGGACGTGTCACCAATGGCATCACGAGGAATTAATAGTTATGACTTTCCAAGAATGATTATTTGAACCTAAATTCTTTTATTCCTTCATTTGAAGATAGTTATTGCCATGTGAGTAATGCCAGTAAGCTTGGAACAGAAAGCTGAAATGAAATAGAAGAGCTACGTGTGGCTTGATCCCTCAGTAAGGGTACGTAGGTAGCCTTTTGTTACAAGGTGCAGCCACGAGTTGGAGTCCTTGAGATTGTTAATGTATTATTGGTATTATGAGAGCCGAGATGAATTTTACTAGTTGAATGATTTTATTTGATTTATTGAGGCCTGAGGCCAGAATTATATGATGCTTGATTTTGGATATAATTTGATACATGCTGGCAGTTGGGTTATATTCGTATATGCTTGTTTGATAGGTGGAAGTTTTTGGGGAAATGTTCATTTTATAAGGGAGACTCTGCCAAATTTTCGGTAGAAGTCAAGCTTGAAATTCTTCGGATTTGGTTTAAAAAGGGTATTTTTGGTCGTTGTGCCCTGCACCCGCCAAGTGTCGGACACGCACAGGGTTCGGCTCGGATTCCAAAGTGGAATTTGGGTCGGGTCCTGTCAACTTGGTATCAGAGCATTAGGTTATATTCCTGTAGACTCGGCACCTTGAGTGTCTCCTTGTTTTAATGAACCGCTTGATGTTTCTTTATGTTGTTTTGCCTTGTCGACTTACGAGTACTAATAGTTAGGTGGGTAACCTGGGATAGTATATTTCTCTTAATCCACCTATGACCAACTTAACTTTTCTATGCTTAAATAGGACATGATTAGTTTAAAACAGTACATTATAGCCACAAGGGAACAAAAGCCAAGTTGAGATAAATTTAAAAAAAAAAAAGTTTTAAACCCACCATAGGAGTACCCCCCCAGTTATTTTGAAACAATTTGTTATTCATGATATGCCCACATAGGTTTCGGGAACGCCCGAACCGTGTGGTGCGAGGATTGCGGCTCGGATTGACTTAGTGTCTCCGGGACCTACGAGAAATGCGGCTCGGTTAACCTGGTGTTTCCGAGACTTGCGAGACTAGAATTGACGGAATATGATGGGGGTACATCCGGGTGGTGAGTTTTCTAAGTTAAAGGATTTTACACAAATTACGATAAATCTTTTAAGCTATGAACTTGTTTTATAACTTAGAGAACAATACATATATTACTTTAATAATTTTCTCGTTTTCTACTTTCTCATAATAAGTTAATTATAAATCTTTATTAATATATATGTATTTTAATTGAGTTATATAAGTTTTGAAGGAAAGAAAAGCTAAGATGTTATCAGCAATGTTTGTTTTACTTCTAATTCTATTTTAGTATACATATAAATGTACAAATATATTAATCTAAGCCAGCAATACCTAAATTGATTCAGGAAACTAGAGGAAGTTCAGCGAGTGGACTTTTTGTTTTCATAAATGAATTTATGCAATTTAATCTTATTATTTGATCTTGAATAAGCTATTCATTGTTCAGAGTTTTAATAGCTTAATTTATTGTTTTTATATGTTCTATTTTATATGCTGCCGAGTTGAGAGTGCCTAGAGATTTTGGCATAACAGAATTTTAGATAACTAACGGATAAATGGCAGCAGAGTTTAGGGTCAAGTAAGAATTCATTTTTATTTCTCATTAACTTTTCTGAATTTATATTTTCTTAGAAACCACTCTAGGTACCCAAGGATAATAAATGTTGCCTTCAGTTTTATGTGTTGCCCATGGATTAAATATGTTGTTTTTGGATTTTATTGGTTGCCTTCGGATATGTCAGCATGCTCGATTTTTGCCCCACGAGTCTTAAGGATACCTAGATTGTGGGAGTGAGGAATGCGGATCAGGTCGACTAAATGTCCCCTGAATCCTGCGAGGGTTGCGACTCAGGTGACCTTGTGTTTCCCGAGACTTGCGAGGGCGTGCCGCTCCGGTGGCACGAGGAATTGATGGGAACTAAAGGAAGTGATGGTTAATTGTGAGATTGACGAAAATAAAATGGATATACCAAGGTGGTAGATTAAATTTCAGTTTCATTGTCTTCAGCGAAGGGATGTTTGGAATAATGTGTGAACGATTGTCTAAGTATAGATATGAATGCGTGTTGTTCGGGTTGGCTAGGTTTCCACTCAATTGTTAAAGGTAGAGAACTTGGTAGTGGACATGCCAATTGTAAAAGTCGAGGATATTATTAGTGAGTCATGTTTAAATGAGCCTAGAAATCCTATCCAATAAGATGACAAGTATTTTATACCTACAGAGGAAATTGGGTTCATGTGTGGGGATTTGGTGCTATCCTGCCTGAAGAATTTACTCAAATGAGATTACATTAGTAGGAAATACTTATGTTTGGATGTGGTCTCCAAATCCAAGCTAAGTCAAGTGGTCTCCAAGTCCATACTTCAGCAAAATGAAGGCAGGGGGCACTACAACGGTTGGATGATCTTCAATTTTGGATATCTTATAGCCAACACAATTTCGAGCAAATTTTGTGAAGCAATCACAACCATCCGAGAATCATATATTGAAACCAAATGCAGAAACCGAGTCTGCAGAGACTCACCAGCCATGGATGAGCACAGAAGCTGCAAACCCGTTTTGAGGCATCAGGAAAATTCAGAAAAATCTACAAATTTCACAGATTTTAGTCCTCAGGTAGACGAGCAACGTTCATGAAGGAAGTTTTCTGATTGGAGCTTCCGAAATATGACTTCTGGATTTCTGAACAGTACCCTCGGTTTTGGGTCTTGAAGAAGAAGGAGGAAAAAAAAAATGAGGAAAAGAAATGTAGCCAGCATGTAAACCAAGTAGGGAGGTTTTGAACTTGGCTGAAGAAATGGCTTGGCCATGGGAGGACCCACGTGGGTTTACTTTGGCATTCCCAAACTTGGTCGGCTGGAGGATTTGGTCTCTTTGCAAATTGGGTTGCAAGTGTTTGGGTTGGAATCCAATTGTCTTTTTATTTATATATATGAATGCAAGTTGCAGTCAAAAGTGGTGTTTTGTTGACTAACATTTGGACAAAGGAAGCAGCAAGTCACGTGGGAATGCTTGGGATGTTGGCTGCAAAATGTGGGTTGCAACGTGCTGGTTGCAAAATGTGGGTTGCAAAATGTGGGTTGCAACGTGCTGGATGCAAAATGTGGGTTGCAATGTGCTGGATGCAAAATAGCGGCTGCAAAGGTGGCCAAAATCGTTGGCTGCAAAGTTGGCCAAAGAGTTGGCTAGAGAAAGTTGGCCAAAGTGTTGGCTGAAAGGTTCTTTGTCTTGTTTTATTTTTTTTATAAAATTAATCAAAGCCTAATGCCATATGCTACTGACGCCAGACCAACATACCAAGATGGCTTCATGCGATATCAAACAAAAAGCTAAGATGTCTGGTTGAGTAGGGAACCCACGCGGCCGACATCCAAATACTTGGAGTTCACACGTCACTTAATGTTGGTGGGAGTCTTAACTAAGTTAGGAGCTCTAAGTTCACAACTTCTCACCAAGTGTCAAATCAAGTCCAAA